GCCACCCCCCCGGCCGGTTAGGTTCAAAGCGTCCCTCGCTCGGCCCCCGTACATACAGGGACTGGACAATTCATAAATTTAAATTAGCAAATATTCTCCTCCTCCCCGTACCCTCTTACCTCTGTCTTGCTCCCCGCTCGCTTGCCAGAACTCCCCGACAACTCATGGCCTGGCCGAGCCAGCTGTCTCAGACCGTAAGCCGCGAAGTCAGCAGGCCTCACACTTGCACTCCCAAACAATCCTTCCCCACCTCCGTCCTCTGTCACCGCTTCCGGTGTGCGACCCTCATGCGCAAGCGCATTAATAGTACAGAGAAACCCCTCCTCTTCCTTCTAAGTGATTTTTGGTAGACGCAGAGGATAGTTGGGACTCCCTACTACGCAGGCGCACTGTGACTGCAGCGCGAGAGGCGCATGCCCATTGGTCGTCTCTCACTGGGTATGCGCATGTGTGAAGGTCGGGTGCATGCCTACGTAATAGTAATTCAGGACCCCGGCAAAGGCTGTGCAGGGTCCGTTTGGAAGTAAATTTGATCGAATTAAAAAAAGCGGAGGATACCGAGGTCATGTGATAAAGGACCGGGGTCATGTGCAGCAATTTCCAAGAATTTTATTATCTTAATCCGCTTTCGGTTTCAGTTGTTGTGGGGCTAAAACAGACTAAATGCAACCTTATAGCGACAGCTGAGGAGTGTGATGCCCGTAATGAAAAATATTGATGCAAGTTGCTGGCGATTCCTGGAATTGCAGAATTAGAGTTTTAGCTCCTGATCGAGGTACGGGGAGAAGAGTGCACGGGGTCTTGTGGCGAATAAGGATTTTCGTGGGAATGCACGGGGTGGGATGTTCACGAGTCTTGTGGCGAATAAGGATTTTCGTGGGAAAACAGCAACAAATCACTTAAGCAACTCCTCTAATGTTCACCGTCAGCCAACCTTGCATAGTGTTTTTTCTTCCTCTTTTTCCCTCTCACGGGACAAAAATGTCTTGTTATTTCTGTTGTCAATGGTGTGGGTTGTCTTTGCAGATAGTTTTCAGGACCAAACATTTTCCGATAGTGCTTAAGGTTGCCAACTCTGGGTTGGGAAATGCCTTGAGATAGTGGAGTGGAGCCTGGGGAGAGCAGCATTTGGGGAGGGGAGGCATCTCCGTGAGGTATAATGTCACAGAGTACACCCTCCAAAGCTGCAATTTTCTCCAGAGGAACTGATTTTGATGCTTGATTAGGGTTGCCAGACCCCTGGTCTGGGAGGGGGTTCCCCCAATGTTTCAGGGTTTTGCCTGCCCTTGGCCAGCTGGCTGGTGGGTGACCCCCAAACAGGGGCATTGCATGGGAAGGTCTCCGATGCAATGATGTCATGCGGAAGTAATGTTATAACGTCGGGAATATTGCCGTGCTGGTTTGAGGGCAAAATGTATGGTAAAACTGTAGAGTTTTGTCCTTAAATCAGAGTGTCACTGCACAATGTCCCCAGTGTGATGACGTCACTTCCGCATTGATCCCCAGGTTCCAGAGATCAGTTCCCCTGGAGAAAATGGTGGCTTTAGAAGGTGGACTCTATGGCATTATGCCTCACTGATGTCCCTCCTCCAAAAAACCCTGCCCTCCCCAGACTCCACCACCAAAAGCTCCAGGAATTTCCCAACTCAGAGCTGGAAACTCTTCGTGAGATCTGGAGAATTTTAATTCTGCAAGAACTGTAGGCCCACCTGCAAGTTGGACACAGCATCTGGAGATTAGTTGGAACAACACAGTGGGCCAGCTGGAAACCCCACTCCTAAAGTTGGGGATGCTCTGGTTTTTGGGCAAAACGCTATGGTTTGAGGGCTACTTTACCATAAAGTTTTGTCCAAAAACCAGAGCATCACCCTTGGTGTCACCGATGCAATGATGTCATTTCCGGGTGATGTCATGATGTTGTGTGACATCCTCGAACACCCCTCAAAACTCCCTGCTGGATCGACAAGGGGACCTGGCAACCCTACTTCCTTTTCTCCTTAGGGCTGCCAGCTCCAGGTTGGGAAATTACTAGAGATTTGGAGGTGGAGCCTTGGGAGGTTAAGTTTGGGGAGGGAAACAACCTCAGCAGTATATAATGCCCTAGAGTCCACCTTCCAAAGTGTCCCATTTTCTCCAGGGGAACTGATCTCTGGCCATCTGGAGACCAGTTGTTATTCTAAGTGATTTCCAGCTACGGTTGCAAGCTCTGGGTTGGGATATACCTTGAGATTTTGGGGGTGGAGTCTGAGGAGGAGGGGAATTGGAGGAAGGGCGGGACCCCAGCAGGATATAATGCAGGATATAATGCCATAGAATCTGGGGGAATTGATCTTGGTCATGTGAAGATCAGTTGTAATAGTGGGAGATCTCCAGGTGAATTCACCGCTTGGAGTTCTGGGAAGGCATGCGGCTGCTCCTCGCCCTCCCCCCTCTCTCCTCCCTCTCCACTGCTGCCCCACAAAATTTCCCCATGCCCCACCAACCCAAAATTTCTGCCTGTGGGGCTCCTCTCATTCCTCCTGTGGACACTCTTATAACAAAGTCTGCCATTTCCATAGTGTCCCCTCTCTCCGCCCTCTCCACTGCTGCCCCACAAAATTTCCCCATGCCCCACCAACCCAAAATTTCTGCCTGTGGGGCTCCTCTCATTCCTCCTGTGGACACTCTTATAACAAAGTCTGCCATTTCCATAGTGTCTTCTTTTTTTCCCAGACAGAAGAATGAAAAGCATCCCGGCAGCAGTGGAAATCTGTCCCTACTGTAAAAAACCGTTTAAGCGTCTCAAGTCCCACTTGCCCCATTGTAAGATGGCAGGAGATGCATCGTTTGCTGTGCACTCTACTGAAATTTCTGCTCCTGTCCCAGTGACTGGTAGTTCTGTCTCACCAGAATGTCTGGATACTAAGAAGAAAGGGCAGAACAAAAGTACTGAAATGGCCTCCAAAAAAGAAAATAAGAAAAGCAAACCTAAGCTGATAGGGAATGAAAGAAAAGTAAAATTGGATTCTGTAGAACCAATAGTTGTGGCACCTGTTGGCAATCTGCTTGCAGCAAGACCAGATGAAGATATACAACAGCAAATTAAACATTCCACCAAAAAGTCGCAGAAAAGAGAAAATGGCACACCAAGAGCCCCAGGAGAAGACCTAGCACATACACAGGCAGCTGAGAAAGAACTTTCAAAAACAATGCTTTTGAAAAAGTCTCCCAGAGTACAGAAAAGTAGAAGCAGAATTACCTTTGATGAAGATAAATTTGCATCTGCTGTCATTCAAGAACCATTGATTCACAGTGGTAAAGCCACTTCTAGATCTCCTGGCCAGTTAATTAAAAAACCATCTGCAAAACAGAGACAAGCTAAGGATTCTTCTGTTCAACATATCCCATTAAATGAAGCTGCCATTGTCAACCAGAAGATGAGACACCAGCCTGTGGAATCATTGCCAGCCAGTGCTGATATCTCATTGGCCACTGAGAAGCAAATTATCACAGGAACAGAGGACAGAGTTTTAAGTCTTGAGTTTGAAGGGAACACCTGGACTGGAAAGACAGAAAATGCTGTGACTACAGTTAAAGCTTCTGATGAGTGTTTTCTGAACACCTACAGAACGGTTGCCAATGTTCCTGTTCAGCTGGCTGCAGGAGTAAAAAGTATGATGGACAAAAATCAGTTATCAGTTGTTTCTCATGAAGAGTCTCTGGTTTATCACAGTCCTAAAACAAATCCCTACCCCACAATACTTCAAAGAAGAAGCAATGATGAAATACGTAACTGTGACCTAACTTGTTTAGAAAATGACATTGCTTTAGATTCTGGGATCATTGTGATAACCAGAGGCAACAGCTCAGGGACATCTTTGAAACCGCCCTCAGTTCATATGTTAGAAATGACTGCTGCAGAAAGGTTATCATCGCCCAAGAGAGGCTTACAGCCAGGTTCTTTGGGACTGGAGTGGTTTCCAGAACTGTATCTTAATTATCAGAACTTATTTTCAGGGAAGCAGAAACAACAGGACACCAGAATCCCAACAACCCAGGTCATTCTCCCATATGAAGACCGGCAAGGTAAAAATGGGTTGTTTTCAGTCACTTTCTAAGAGGCAACATTGTGTCTGCTACCCAAGGAGCCAGTTTGTTGGAGTGTGTGTAGAAAGAGCAAGTGTGTGTGTGTATACACAGTGTACAGTTTGTTGGAGTCTGTTTGTTCTCTGGAACATTATGTTGGTTTTTGATTTACCAGGGCAGGTCTAAGCTTATAAAGGGTTGTGTATCAAAATCCTCGTAAGGCCAAGGGCTGCTTCTCTCTCTCTCCATAAATTCATTTTTAAATAACGCCAGGGTTATTGCTTGTCCATCTCAGGATGTTAGAAGACTGTGGGGTTCCCAACCTTCTCAAAGATTATTTGATTTCCCTGTCCCTGCACCTGGGACCCTGGAATAAATCTCCTTTGATAGTATGACCAAGACTGGATTTGGACTCTCACACACACAGTAGAACACACCAGTAAAAGCAGTAAGCTTTATTGAAGAAATATAAAAAGTGGTTTAGGCTTCAGCATAAGCAAGAGTAAGCAGGTGCTATAAAACAACAAAGTCTAGATTCTTACACACACATACATGAAGACAGGTAGATTCATGTTGCTGTTGTTGTTATCTCCCCAGATGGGTGTAAGCTAACTTTATAGGAAAACTGAATCACTGACCCGCTGACTAGTGTAAGCCAATCAAGAACGTGATCCAAAAGACGATTCCCAAAGAAGAGTAGGACTTCCCCCTCCCATCTGAGTGTAATTAAGTCAGATTGCTTTCATATTCCAAGGTGCGACCTCAGTCTTTTTATCTTGGCCTGGGAAAAGTGGAAGAGTGATAACCATTTGGCCTGGAACTCTCCCCAATAGAACAAAGTTTGAGTCCAGTGGAACTTTTAAGACCAATGAAGTTTTATTCAAGGTATAAGCTTTTGTGTGCATGCATACTTCTTCAGATACATTGAAATGGAAGTTACCAGTCCATACATATATTCATTCATAAATACAATTAAAACCAGTCATAAAACAACCATAAACAATTCAATTATCAGTTATCATAAAGTGCTGGAGCAGTGATCTAATAAAGTGCTAGAACAGTAGATTTCAAATTAATAGTGATACTTAAGGTGACAATAACAGTCATGTTGGTATTCTCAAACCAGCTCAATTTATCCAGCTTATTTGTGCAGAGAGCACAGGCTGTAGGTAGTAAAGTCGGGGCACAGGGGCACTCCTCAGAAGTTTGGTTCAGGTCCTTGATTGAAGGCCTGGTGGAAGAGCTACATCTTGCAGGCCCTGCAGAACTGTAAAAGGTCCCGCAGGGCCCTGATCTCTTCCAGGAGCTCATTCCACCAGTATGGAGCCACCACTGAGAAGGCCCTGGTTATAGCCAGCCTGTTGTCTTTGGGGCCTGGGAGGGCTGATCGATTTTGGGACCCTGAGCGCAGTGCTCTCTGGGGAACGTGAGGAAAGGTGGTCTCTTAGGTATGCCGTACCCTGACCATAAAGGGCTTTAAAGGTGAGAACCAGCACCTTGAAGTGATTTCAGTATGCTATCAGCAGCCAGTGCAGTGCTTTTGGCACAGGCTGGATGTGCTCCCACATCGAGAGACCCATCAGCAGCCTGGCCGCAGCATTTTGCACTAGCTGCAGATTCCGGATTTGGAACAAGGGCAGTCCCATGCAGAGAGCATTACAGTAGTCTAATCTTGAGGTGACCACCGTATGGATCACTGTTGCAAAGTTGTTGCGTTCGAGGAAGGAAACCAACTGCCTAATCAACCAGAGATGATAAAAGGCTGACTTGGCAGTGGCTATCTGGCCCTCCATTGTTAAGGAGGCATCCAAGAGCACTCCCAGGCTCCTAACCTCCGGTGCTGGCACCAACTGTGCCCCATGGAAGGTCAGGAGTGGGATCCCTACCCTCAGGCCACCCCAACTCAGGCACAGGACCTCCGTCTTCATCAGATTCACTTTCAGTTGGCTCAGTCTAAGCCAACCAGCCACGGCTTGTTACGCCCAGTCCAGGTCTTCCGGTGTAGAGTCAGACTGGCCGCCCAACAACAGATAGAGCTGGGTGTCATCCGCATACTGATGACACCCCAGCCCATGCCTCCAGGCAATCTGGGCAAGGGGGCACATAGAGATATTAAATAGCATTGGGGAAACCACCACCCCTCTAGGCACTCCACACATCAGTGGATGCCTTCAGGACAGCTGTTCCCCTAGTGCCACCCTTTGTCCCCAACCCTGAAGAAAGGATGCAAGCCATTGCAAGGCAAGCCTCTAGACTCCAGTGTTGGCGAGGTGGTGGATCAGTAGCTGATGGTTGACCATGTCGAATGCTGCCAACAGGTCCAAAAACAACAGCACTGCTGATTCACCTCAATCCAGATGCCTTCGGAAGTCATCCGTGAAGGGTGACCAGTGCCGTCTCTGTCCTGTGTCCCGGGCGAAAGCTGGAATGGAAGGGATCTAATGTGGAAGTGTCATCCATAAAGCTCTGCAACTGGACTGTCATGGCCCTCTCAATTAGTTTGCCCAAATATGGCAAATTGGAAACTGGTCAGTAATCCAGAGATTACTTTTTCAGGAGAGGATGGACCATGGCCTCCTTAAGTGTCCCAGGGAACAGACCCTCCTAGAGGCAAGGACCAAACTGTAATAACAAACTTAGTTTATATGGTCACCATTTGTTTGGGTTTAATTCTGGGGGAAAACATAGTGAGGAGTCTTAGTTAATTTCTCTTAACATTCCACAATTAAGAAGGGTACATCTGCCTTTCGAGCTCTGATTTTGATATATTTATTTCCTTCACTATGTTTGCCCCGGAATTAAACCCAAACAAATGGTGACCATATAAACTAAGCTTGTTATTCCAGTTTGGTCCTTGCATCTGTCAAACACCTTTAATATGCTGTATGCTAATCTGATGCTCACCCTCTACCTATATGTATGCACTGGTAACTTCCATTTCAATGTATATGAAGAAGTGTGCATGCAAACGAAAGCTTATACCTTGAATAAAACTTTGTTGGTCTTAAAGGTGCCACTGGACTCGAACTCTAATCTGCTGCTTCAGATCAACACAGCTACTCACCTGCAATTCTCCCCAGTGCTGTTATTTATGCTTGGATAGAACAACAGGAAATAAGCTGTTGCTTTAAATTTATGAGACGGCCAAATGCTGATGTTTAAAACAGTCAGGTTTTTGACTGCTCAAGACTTTTAGTCAAGGAGCTTTAATCAGATTAAAAGAAAGGAAAACAGGTTGATCGATGCAGAGGTGACCCTCTCTCTTGACGCGGGATCCCTAAGAGCCTTTCCAGTAGGTCCTTGCCACCACCAACTGCTTTTTCTGATTCTTTTAGTTCAAGTATATGTATAAGATGATTCTCTGCTTCATTTGTATTTAAGGTTGCCAGTCGGCTTGGAGAAAAATGTCTTGTTCCATTAATGGTTGCTTAGCTGAATGTGGTTTATCTCTGGTCTATCATATGCTTCCTGTGTCCATTACTATTTAAGCCTCTATTAAAGGAGCTAGACATTTTCCCCAGGCCCACTGACTGTGTTGCTCATAGACACGATGAGCCTCTTTGAGAAGTGCTTTATCCTCTGCTTCCATTAATAGTTTGGAAATGACACTTGTAACTCTTAAAAACTTGTGGGCATATATGTCTTACAGAGTTTCATCCTTTTCTTACCAACTGAATTGTCCTGGCTTTCGCCAAAGAATCCCTGTACTGAAATTTGGTAGGATGCTGATCCCTCAGCTACCTGGGAGAGGTAATGGCTATGAAAGCAAATTTACGTTTGTTTCATAGAAATGCTGAGTCTGTCAAACTGCAAGCACAGGTGTTTTCTCTTGTGTAGATTCACTGGCTGGCAGAGCTCCATCTGCCCACTTAAAACAGGGCCCTTTCCAATAAGTGGATCTACTGATTCCTTGTGGCTGACGAGAGCTCTTCCTGCTGCCAGTAGATCTGCTTATGAGGAAACACCACACTGTGCAACCCTGCAGTTTAGTAGGGGAGGGCAGTTGGCTGCTTGAAATAGAGCTCTTTCCAGTCACCAAATCAGATGCTGTCCTCCACAGGGAACAGATGCAGCACTCTCTCAATATCTGTTCATACAACTTCACAGGGAAGTGCTCTTCTTGAAGAGCCAACTGTCTTTCATTCAGACTCAGAGGTAAAGCTTGTGACTTTTTTCAGGATGCCATGTAAATTGCATCACCTTTTCTTAAGATTTAGAGAAGCAAATGTAGTGGGGCCAAAAAGAGGTCAGCGTGTTTGAAGCAAAAGTCTGGCTGTTTCTGTCTCCTAGTTCCGCTGGCAGAAAGGTGCCTGATGGATGTAAAGCTCCAAGATTTGCCTGCTTGGCTGGCTACGCGCAACCCGTCTCCAGGGGGGATGCTAAGAGCGACATGCAGAGGTGAGAGCTGATTAGTCTTTCAGTCCTATCTAGAGATGGGCAAGGGTTCTGTTGCTGTAGCAGGAAGCAATTGAGGTTGACTGAACAGCCCTTGTTGTTTGCCTTTTACTTGCGGCTATTTTACTGTTACATTTATTGGTTGTATGTGCCACTTTGATGTGCCTAAAAATCTCATAAGTGAAATAAATTATTTTGACACACATGCTCACAAACAAAGCATTTCAGCCTTTTCTCTTAAACAGCCTGGAATGGATATTACAACCGATACATCAATGTGAAAAAGGGTGGAGTGGCTGGGATCTCGATGCTCCTGCTTGGCTACTGTGTCCTCAGCTATACCTGGAGCTACGAACACATTAGTAAGGCTTTTCCCCTGGCATCTCTCTTTTTCTCCCAAGAAATTGTGTTGGGTGCTAGAAGACAAAGGCCCTGCATGTGCTGCTGTCAGGGCTTTTTGTTCTCAGTACATGGGGCAGGAGGCACTCAGGAAGACAAATGTGCAAACTCATCTGCAACTTTGGAATAAAGATTCTTAACTTTTTATTGTCAGGTTAATCCTTTTTTAAGAAAGAAGAGGCTCAGGAGGTTGCAGTTGACCCTGGGGCCTCATTCTGCTGATTCTGAGCCTAGAATGACCTCTGTCCCCATCCCAAAGTGTGGAAAGACAACAGAATGAATTCTTGGAAGACTTTGCTTAAAATATGACAATGAAGTCTCAGACATTTATAGACCCTTTAATAGATTGGGGCAGCAGGGGGAAGGTTTTAAGTAAAGTAGAACTGCCATCACTCCTTCAGTGTA